AACTATTGGGATTCAATTTGTCCGCTGTGGAAATTTTAAATCTTCTAGATGCTAAATTTTTACCCCTTAAAAGCTTTTTAGACAAATGACTGTTTACTTGGACGATTTTGTCTAGTTTTAACCTGAGACTGATTTTGTCAGGGGTGCATTTGAAGATTTGTCCGCTTCGACCAAAATTTGTTAAGTGGCGACAAACCATCTGCACTTGTAGCGCATTAGTGATGACAGACTGCTACTGTACTTACTTGGCGCGTCTACAGCAGAATTCCGTTAATCGATTCCATGCAACACATAGGGAAGGAAAAGCTGTGCAAAAAAGTGGAAAAGCAAACTCGAGATGCTTTTAAAAAAACTTGGCAAAACGAAGGTTAATTTGAATGGCGCTACTAAATGAATCGTTTGTCAAGGAATTAACCTGCCTAGATGAAATTTTCCTCGGGGTATCTTACTTTTTTCAAACCGAGGAAACGTGTGATCGAAACTAAAATATTTTGAAAAACAAAAGGTAGCTTTTCCTTTGTTGAACAGAACTCTTTAAGGGAGGGAATAAAGTCTGAATATTATTATAGTGGTGTGAAAGATATTATGCTATGCGGCTAGAAGTGAAGTTTGGCGAAGGAAAAAGGATACGTTTTTTAGAGCCCTTTTAAGCTCACTGGAGGCTAAGCACGTGGCGATTACATAGGTGTAACAGACATCTGAAAGAAATTCATGCAAACTCCAACAACTCCTCTTATTTGATCCTTACCATGAACTTAAGAGAGGATGTCAGCATCCATCGAACAAATTTGAAATATTGTGGCAAGTGGCCCAAAGTTCGTTTTCTCTCCTACTTTCATATTTTGTAGCCCAATATGTCCTCATAATTGTGGTGTAGTTATTTTGTAAAAATATATTTTAGTTTTCGAGAAATAATTTTTTTCGTTCGACCGCTCAAATATGCAAATTTTCACCGTGAATATTACCCGAGTTGTGTGACCTCATGTAACGAATGTACTAGACCTATGGTATTTCTGTGAGCATAATCCTTTGTTTTATCATCTAAACTTAATCCCCTGTCGTTATTGAAGCTGGCAAAGAAATATTTATTTTTTGGTGAATATTTTTGTCCAACATACTTTTCCTATGTCGAAAAGTAGCATCAAAACAAAGACAGTTTTAACAATGACCGATATGACAGAATCTACTGAGCTTCAAGCTTTTAAAAGACCAAAGGATAGTTATAAAGTTACTGTTAAAGTTTCCTTGTGTATTTGTGTTGTTCTATCTTGAGACGAACTCAAAGTCCGGCAAAATTTACTTGATAGCGACTATGGAATATGCATGATGCGCCTAGTTGTTGCCACCGTTAACTGGCATAAATCACTACAATTTGTAAAAAAGTCTATCATAACACTCTTACCTTGTTTATTTATGATTTTATTAGCCGTTTCGATTATTATATTACGCCTGGGTATTACATTTTGACAGGAGCCCAGGTTTTGCGTTCTGTTTTCCCCTCCCTCATTTATATCATAAGCTAATCACGCAATAATTGATACCGACACAAATGAATATTTACCATGTATAAAGATTTTTGTTTACGTTGAATTGAAAATATTAAAATATGTGCTTTCTTCCCTAATCAATGTTTCAGCGGAAGCGAAGCAGTTAAAAGTGGGTTGTTGCTTCAACGCTACTGAAATTGTAAGTATTCAGACAGGCGAGCAAAGCGTGATGCTCTGGGAGTAAAAACTTTTAGGGGTCTTTTACATGATATCCGAATGAGTTTTGTACGAGAACGAGTTCATACCGGTTGCCACATAATAACCAGCGTAAAATTTATTCGAAACGAGTCATTTCTGAGTGAGTTTATTGGGGTTTTCATTACAGAACGAAACACTCATTCTGGACGACCTTTTCTACCTGTACAATGTAAACGCGGCACGGCTCTCATATTTGAATGAATCCTCTGTAGGAGCGAGGGAAGCATTGAAAAAGACAGAAAAGGACATAAACACTTGTTTTTACAGGCTAATTGTTGCCACTCCCACACGGATAAGACTTAAGTACCTTTTATAATTTTATAGCGGTCGTTTTCGAAATTCTAGGCGCGCACCCCCGCCTTCTTATGTAAAGGGGTCCCCCCGGGGATGCTGATAGGTGCAGCACACTTGACATTTAGCAAGGACAAATTCTAATGTGATTTTTGGCGAAGAGAAACAAGTTTTGTCAGCGTCTAGTTGCTAGTGCGGAAGGGCCCTTTACCACCGTGTACATAATTACGCGTCCCCCCAGACGGTAGAAAGCCAACAAAGTGTTCAGACATTAGTTCAGAAAATTCCGCCTCTGTCTGAATTTTTGGTAGCCTATTGACCAATCCCCAATCGAAACTTAAGTCTGATGTCACGCGTAATTTTGCTCACGGTGGTAAGTAGCCTACTTAGCGAAGCCAGATTGTACGAATTTTCCAGACATCTTGAGTACTATCTGTGATACACGCTTGCCAATTCCCCATCAGCTTTTGGAATCGACTTAACCATACCTTTAACATGGCCGGACATTTCTTTTGGTACCCTACATCTGCTATTGGAACCACGATTCCACCCAACACCGAGATTTGATCTGTGAGTGGGGCAATTAGTAAAATCATCGATATCTTTTGGCGTCTCGAAGATGCCGGTGTCACAGCGGATTTGGACCCACCGCGGATTTGGACCCCTCGGTCCAAATCCGCTAGCGGATATGGACTACCCTTCGCAGATTTGGACCCCCCTACCAAACTTTTCTTTTAAGCATCCTTTGTATCATATTTGGTAACTAATTCTGGAACTCTCAGCTTATTTTCAGATGCAAATCAACGTTAATGTCAACGTCTCAACAAAAGTGGATACTATTACATCGAACTCAATCTTATTTTCTAATTTTAATGATATTAACTGTTGAGGGATCCGAAATAACACATTAACAATTACGAAGACGTCTAGAGTCTGGCAATCTGCAGACAATGCAAAGCCACTCGTCCTCCGAGGCAGTCTTAAATCCCTCGCACTGTGCCATGTCGTCCCAACACTCGGGCATTGAACAATGACAAAATAAACTAGTGTCACAAGTTTGTTTCTTATTGAATCTAACGGTGTTCGATTATCGCGGAAAAGGTTCAAAAACGACCTCTCTCCAGACATTAAACTAAATTCTTGCCCATTTTCCCTTGGTCAAAAGAAACATCCGACGGGATGCCAGTTTGTATGCATTAACGATACGCATGTTTTGAATTGAAAACATACTTTAGTACGCTCTGGAACATAAAGTATCATCCATTTTTATTAGAACGTTAAGGATGATGTTTTCACTCAGTTTTGTTGGGGGTTCGAATCCGCGGAGGAGGGTCCATATCCCCTAGCGGATTTGGACCGGGGGGTCCATTTCCGCTAGCGGATTTGGACCGGGGGGGTCCAAATCCGCTGGGACACCGGCACGAGACAAAACAAGATCAACTTCATTTTCTGGATCTGAAAACTTGCAACTCCGCAAGTGACTTGAAATGTCTTTATAACAATCACGCAAGGGAACGAATTGGTCTTCTCGATAACTAAACCCACAAGTTCCACCAGCGAACGATTTAACTAAACAGAAAATCTCCATGTTAGCATGTAAGATGAGACGTTTGTAAAACAGATCAGTTAGCAAAATCAGTATGTAGCTTGTCAATCAAATTGACTATTGTAACCATACTTTGACTGCAGCTGGCAAAGGAATCATTGATGGATCTAGACATTTTAGTTTTCTGAATGCAGTAATTCCTGAAAGATTTTTCTAGATGTCATGCAAAGAGGCAAAAAAAAACACATCTCTTGGTATTTCGGAGGTTGATTCATCTTCGAATTTCTGTGTCACGCTTGTCACGCAACTGATATAAGAGCATAATTAACGTGATCATCGAAACAGCTAATAAAATCATAAATAAACAAGGTAAGAGTGTTATGTTTGATTTTTTGCAAATTGTAGTGATTTATGCCAGTTAACGGTGGCAACAACTAGGCGCATCATGCATATTCCATAGTCGCTATCAAGTAAATTTTGCCGGACTTTGAGTTCGTCTCAAGAAAGAACAACACAAATACACAAGGAAATTTTTACAGTAACTTTATAACCATCCTTTGGTCTTTTAAAAGCTTGAAGCTCAGTAGATTCTGTCATATCGGTCATTGTTAAAACTGTCTTTGTTTTGATGCTACTTTTCGACATAGGAAAAGTATGTCGGACAAAAATATTCACCAAAAAATAAATATTTCTTTGCCAGCTTCAATAACGACAGGGGATTAAGTTTAGATGATAAAACAAAGGATTATGCTCACAGAAATACCATAGGTCTAGTACATTCGTTACATGAGGTCACACAACTCGGGTAATATTCACGGTGAAAATTTGCATATTTAAGCGGTCGAACAAAAAAAATTATTTCTCGAAAACTAAAATATATTTTTACAAAATAACTACACCACAATTATTAGAAATATTGGGCTAAAAAATATGAAAGTAGGAGTGAAAACAAATTTGGGTGACTTGCCGCTGTTTGCTTGATGCTGACATTAGCTCTTAAGTCTTAAGTTTTTTACAACCGAGGTGGCCTCCCCGCCCAACCATACTGTTAAACCTGTATAAATATTAAATCTTAAGTGGCTCATACATAAAAATGATGATGATAATGATGATGATGATGATGGTGATGACATTCTTTCCTAAGCCATCTTTAAATAATGTCTAATGCATCAAGAACTGATGAACAAAACAGCAGCTTTCGTTTCATGAAATCTAAACAACTAATCTCCTTCCCCTGTGTCGAAAACCGCGGCCTAGAGAAGTACTGCTCCTTTGTCCTTTAATTTTAAAGCCTTTTGTATGACATTTTTAAAGCAATTGATCTTTTATTAAATGAAAAGAGAAAAAGTCAAGTCATCCATGGGGTGATAAAGGAGAACAACATTTTGATCATTTATTGCTTGGTTTCTGGCAGAAAGATGAGTGACACCGAAAATCAAACGGAGGGCTTCATCACAGAACTTCTCGAACAATTACGCAGCATGCCAGTCGACATACGAATTTTCTCCATGAGCACGAGAGCCCTTTACTCAAACGTGGCTGTTGGCACCAATACTGCGCCTGCTGAAAAGTTTAGGGAACTCCGAGACAAAACCAGAAACGACGCAATAGTGTACTTGAACGGTCTCTTCCCGCTTTCAGTCACGTTTGTTGCATCTGTCAGCGAGTACTTTGAGTATTATGAAGCCCTGGAGTACGAAGAATGGTGTGAGATTCTACCTGACATCCTTGAAGAAACTATTTGCCACAGGGAAATGTGCAAAACGCTACTGCAGATGCACGAAGACATCATAGAACCACTCAAAGTGAGAGAGGACCAGGCCCGCGTAATTGTAAGTGAATTAAGAAGCCTTAGACAGAAATTTGAAAAAATGAAGAAAGAGCTGGAAGACAAGGCAGAGACAAAACGCAGCTGGGCGATTGTATTTGCCTTTATACCATTTCTGAACTTCTTAGTTGTTCCTTTTTTGCGTAATGCCGCTGAATACGATTTGGCTGATGCAGTTGCTAAAGGCAGCGAAGCAGAAATTCAAGAAGCTGCCGCACTCGCAGTTAGCAGCATGATCCGTGCCTTGCAAGCCTTTATCACTGGTCTCCATAAAGCAGCCGCTTTCTTCGTCATAATGGAAAAGAAGTTAAAAAGCTTTGAAGGAAAAGCTGAGAAAGCCAAAAGCCGCAAAAAGAAAGCGTTCTACACACTGATGAAGAAACCAGCAAGAGAAGTGCAGAACCTTTGTGACGGCTTCTTCGCGGTTACACCACAGGTCAGGACCGATTTTCGCGCCATTCCAACCGAAGGAACAGACCAGAACTACGTCGACAGGTGGCTGGAAAAGCAGAAGAAAACCATCCAAGAAAAATGTTCAATTCGAAAGCTAGCAAGCAAACTTCTCTCAGCCATGACAGCCCCAGGTAAGGCTAGAGCTGGTGAAGAGTGTAAAGAACTAGATCGAGTGTCACTCTAAGGAACATCTTAATGGAAACAGTATGATTTTTGTCGTTTCGTCTTTCTCCACATATCTATACTAGAGTAAGTGTAATGTCATGCAGCAGCAAAATCAATTTTTAACTTTAAGGGTGACAGTGACTACGAATTTATCGGAATCGCTTCGTCTATGATTTAATTCATCAATCTGCCGGTTTATCCCCAAAGGAGCTTTGACTCATTGTTTAGTATAGCGCCTTAGAAAAACGAGCACAGTGATTATTAATTGCAAACAGGATTATAAGTTATAACGAAATTTTATTTTTTCATGAATTTCATTTTTGCTTAGCTTAGTTTTTCGTGTCTTCGTGGCCTTTGTTACCTTTGTTAATAGGTTATATAGTATGAGCAAGACTTTAACCCGATCCGATGAAGTATTTGTAAGCGGAGTGTTTAGGTGCCTCTCGAAGAATCTCGATATTAGTATTTTTCTTTTGGGTTTCATCCGACCACTTATTGGAAAGACCTGTGACTGACGTAAAGACTTAGCAGAGCCAGAGTGCAGAGCTTTGAATCAAATATTCCAATCATTACTTTTCATGGAAATAAATCAGTAGAGAGCTTATTAATGCACAGTCCTGTAAGGAATAATGGAGGAATTGAGATATCACGGCAGCGAGGCTGATGACAGAGCTGATTAAAAAGAGATGTTCAGTTTATCTTCGGCATTTTGCTAGTACCTCGATATGTTAACCGTCTCTACCGACGCTAGGCCTCCCCTGCGGTTTAACATATGAATGAAGTGTTAAGTTCGGGCTGAAAACGTGTAAATTTGGCTTTGCGGCTCAGACTGCAAATGATTTTAAATAATTGTGAAATTCCATATTATTTTTTCATAGAAAGGCCTGGAAAAGTACGAAGTTTTAAAACGCACGTGCAGAGCAATTGTTCTGCTCCTTACAACTTTTGTGTCACCTCGTTCACGTTCTCGCTGCCGTCGTTTTGTATAAGTCTCCAACAGAAGATTGCTGCTGAGTTTTAACAATCTGCTGAAAGAATTCAACTCATGATAGAACTCCACGGCTGAAGTTTTGTTTCTGCTATATTTTTTCAAACTGACAGGTTTAGAATTATACTAAAATTATTGAGATGAAAAAATAGAGGTATGAAAGTGAAAGCCCTGATAAGCAAGGCAAATATCAGCTTACGAATCCATTATTGTTAGGGTGCAAAACTCAAGGTTTTGTAGACGCGATTTTTGATTGGCATTGGTACTTGGAATTATATATTAAGAAGTTACTACTATCATTTTTAATTTTAACGAGGTTTGTCTGGCGATCGCCTTATACTTAGACTTCAGTTAACAGAAAAGAAGCATGAAGAAAGTTGAATGAAAAACTGCTTAGTGCAAAATAACTTTTCATATTGAAAGATTTCTTTATAATTTTTGTGTAAGAGCGTTATTATTTCAATCATGTATTCAAACAAATTCAAGACACACATGATCATGTGGAGTCAAATGTAATCAAAATTGAGTGATCCTGCAAAGGTTTGTAATTGATTAAGTTTAATAAAGACTTCATAGATGTTCCACAGAATGCATCGGAATGTTTTTTACCCGTGGGGTATTCAGGTTAGAATCAAGCACTAGAGACCTTGCCAACGAGCGTCAGTGAGTCAACCAAATTGGAAAAAGACCTGTTATTGGAAAGGTTCAAAATATGTTAATAACAACTTAATAATTGGGTTAAAAGGTGTATACCTAAGGTTGCGTTTGAGACAGAACTTTAGTGTTACGTGTTGTGTCTAAGCGCGGAATAACATCAATAAACCGTGGATTTAAAACGGCCGACCAAACTTTAATATTCACTACTAAATCCTAAAGCTACAACTGACAAACATACATGCAACTTGACTTTTTAAAGTTGCGCTCTGAAACATATGTTACGTAACATGCCTTACGTAACTTTTGCACCTAATCATGTTCCCTATTGTCCTATCTTTAACACTATAACAATACGTATCCCTTTAACATTCAAGATTTGATTCGCAATTCTCCCTTTAAGCAAAAACACATTCATGTCAATAGTCGAGAGAATTTGCTTACCACTTTGCCTGATACGTTTCTTAGCAAAAGAATTGGTATTTCGAAATGCGAAATAAAAAGCAACACTAGCCTCGTCCATTTGCAAGGACTAGTCGAATTCAAGTCCATTTACGCTGACTCAGTTACATTTTTCCAAGTAAATGAATTTTGAGCCCTTTTTTGGTTGAAAGGATTAACTAAGTTGAACTGTGTCCGGATGAAAACTTGTCAATATGTTTGCCGTATTGTAAAAATAACATCTTAGTTATTTCAATTGATTTTAACTTTTCAGGGCATTGAATGAGTTTTCCAGAGGAGCATAAAGATAAAAATTGCACTCCATTCAGTTCATCGATCATCGCAAACAATATATTGACAAGAATTTCAATTTCCATACTCGTAACCGAATGCAATCATTCTTGTTCTTTAGGAGCTGCATCAATCTTCCTTCACCTTATTTATGCCTGAGCATTTCTCAATTTGTTTTATATAACTACTAGCACTGCGCTATTACGTCACCTCTGGCGCAGAGAGAGTGAATTCGGTCGTATTACATCAGTGGACCCCGCTACCAATTATTCTAGTTCAACTGCCATGCGCGAGCCACTGCGAAGTCCTATTGGTTCAAAATGATCCCGGAGGCATCCCCAAGGGTTTCAAGTTCATATGTTAATTTTGACCAAGTTATAACTTCTCGAAAGGGAAAAACAGTGTTTTGTCTCGCAAATTTACTGCGATGTGAAGGAACTCGCTGAACTTTAGCGTGTCTGCGGTGTTTGCGGCATAAATCTGTTTCAAGCAGCGATCAAAGGACATTTTACCATTAAAGATTTTCAAGAACACGTATTCAGCATCTTTGGGTAAACGATGAAGCTTGGGGCAACAGTGAACAAAAGATAGGTGAGTGAAATTTTGTGGAGTGCACTTTACACGAAAACACTAATAATTTATTAGGTTTGTATCGACGATTACTTCAACCACTAACAAATCCGAACTTTTCAAGCTCCGTTTCAATAACAAAAGTTTTCAGATTTAGTGACACAATTTCTCAAAGGATTCTCAAACGCAGTTACAATCTTCGTTTCTTTTCATACCCCAAAGACATGAAAGATTTGAGAAAACATTCTACGCAATTTGAGGATGAATGTTTACTTTAATAATTAAACAACTTTTTCGAATGGGCAGGACAATAATTAATGCTTGAATTTTCTCCCCATCTCGCGAAAAGCAATAACATCCATGTTTGTTTCTTTTGATAGAAATGCAATGGTGTATTTCTAGTAGAACCTAAAGAGGAATATGATTAAATAACACACATGTATTTGAAAGGGGATGAACGTGAACTTTCAAACATTTACAAAATAATTCTTTGTTGAACAAAATAAATCAATCACGGGTTCGCCGCTGTGCTTTGTTGTTGTTTTATTTTGAAAATTTTATTTTCGAGTCAGACATTTAAGTTTCAGAACAAAATCTTAAAAATTCATAAATTTCCATGTAGGCATTCATCGCACCTCATTCTGACAAACTATCTGTCTTTGAAAATTCTCTTCCTTGATTTTGTCCAGTGTTATCGTAATTCAAAATACATCACGCTTATGGAGTAAAGACAGTTTTCCGATAAGCTTATCTTTCATCTCGAATCGGTAAAAAATCATCAGCAGTCAAAAGTGACTCTTGTTATTGTGTGGAATAAGATACCTGAAATTTTTTCGGGGAAATGTGGTATCAAAGGTATCAACAATTGCCACCTTAGCTGTAAACTAAAGCAACTTAATTAAGTTTTCGCTTCTTCAGCGAGTCTCTTCCATCTCAATAACTTTATTGTTACTGTCAAAAAACAAATTGTTTTAATGAATTTTGAATCGCAGACCACAAAACAAAAGCATCATATTTACGCTTCAAAATCAAAATCTATAAAGAACTGAGGTTTTCTTTTTTTTCCCTTCTATGGGCTCATCAGTTTCAATGCTTCGATGCAGGGTGCATTTTTCTGTGTCCTTAGAAAAAATATATTTCTCAATATTTCAGGCAGAGATGACAAATCTAAAACTTTAATTCGGAGAGTTTAACAATTAATTTTTCACGTAAAATGTCACTGGTTGTGAGCCAGATTTACGTGATTAGTGCTTAAGCTCTAAAATAGACATGATAAAAATTCGATTTATCAGAATAAGTTGTTCGATTTTGAGTTTGCGTCCTCAGATTTTCAATTGAAATCTCACTCCCGGTTGGTGTTCATTCTGACCGAACCGTTATACTGATAAAATCAATATAAGATGAAAGAACTGTCACTGATTGGCTGATGAGAGCGGAGACAATGCAAATAAGCTAAGCGTAAGTTCTTGTTATGTCTGCCGCTTCGAGTTCCGCTCTTGAAACCTTACTTCTATTTAAAACAAAATGCTGAAGTCCGAAAATAAGAAATGATAAGTAAGTCTTTAATAGAGTGAAAATTATTAGCCATGAACAATGGGTGAATTCAGCGAAGTCTACAGTCATCCGGAATTGAGTTTAATTGTGTAAGAAAAAGATCGTCTAAATCTCTGACCCTGTGCTCTCGTCAACGCTGTGATGAAATTTATCAATTTGATTAACGAAGATCAAGTCCAGATTCTTCTTTCTGTCGCCTCCTACGTAAGCCTTAGGCCTCTAACAAGATTTGCGAAGGGAGTTTCAATATTCTCTTCTAAGATTCCTCGAAATATGGTATTTCTGACGAATGAGTCTGCGAATAAGGCAGAAATAGATATTTTGTCGGCACGAGATACGACAAGGCCTGGGCCTTAGGCCCGAGCATCATGGGTAATGATGCAGTGGTATATGAGGGAAAGTATAGCACGTGATGTCCATCTAGGCCTCAGAACCAACCGTTCACCTCTGGCTTATGACAAATTCAGTGGCCTCTTGGAGCAGACCGTTTCTCAGATCAAACGGTCGAACGAAGAATCGGCGGAAAGTCAGATGAAGGAGACCAAGCGCCTCAAATTCAACGAGTCTCTTAAGAAAACAAAGTGACTAGAGGACCGCTACAACTCAGGTGTAGTTCTTTCCTTTGTTAATATCGAAGCTAGTAGTTTACCTTCGCAATCGGAATTAGGCAGTGCCATTGACTCGGATCCTAGCGTTGCCGCTTGTGCTGATTCTTTACTGTTAGATTCCTTCGGATTCAGGCTCTCTTGCAGTTGATTTGACCTATTCTTCTGTGCGTGGAGGGCTCAGAAAATTTCTGGATTTTTGACGTACTTTGGAAGTTTCGCAATTTGTCCTAAATGTTATTATGCAGGGTTACAAAATTCCCTTCCTCCAACTTCCAACACTTTTTGTTAAGAGAAACAATACTTCTGCTCGTGAGAATAGTGATTTCTGTTTCGCAAGCTGTCAGCGATTTACTTCGCTTGGTCCTAATTGCATAACTTGCTTGTAAGCCTGATATCATTAACCCACTTTCAGTTTCTACCCGTAGTTCGGGAAAGCAAAGGCTCGTTTTGAATCTTCGACATGTCAACCAGTTAATATACGAGCAGAAGTTCAAATGTGAAGATCTGGGTGTCGTTACGCAGTTGGTTTGATCGTAATTATTACTTGTTTAAATTTGACCTTCAGTCTGGTTATCACCACATTGAAATTTTCCCAGACCACAGAAAATTTCTCGCTTTTGCTTGGGATTTTGGGAACGGGGTTTCAAGATATTTTCAGTTCTGAAAATTTTCAGAGCTCATTGAGCCTCTGTGCTTCCTTTCGGGTTTTCTTCAGCCCCGTATGTTTTCACATCGATTTTTAAGCCATTACAGAAATCGTGGAGGAGCCAGGGCATCCCGATAGCTATTTTCCTCGACGATGGTTTAGGAGGGGGAACAAATTTTGTTTCTGCTAAAGTTAACAGTTTAGTCGTCCATTCAGATTTGCTCAAGTCTGGATTTGTTCCTAATGAGGAAAAGTCCCTTTAGTCTCTCCTAGTTATCACCTGGTTGGGTGTGATTCTCGACACTATTGATGGGACTATACAAGCAACCGACAAACGTATTGAAAAGTTAAACGCTGGCCTTGTTGAGCTACTGTCTTGTCAACCTCCCTGGAAAGTGCCCGTGAAGGGAGTCGCCATTGTAACGGGTCAAATAATTTCCCTCTCTCCCTGTGTGGGTTCCTTCGCCCGTATTATGACTAGATTTCTTTTCTTGGTCGTGAATTCGGCGCGCTCTTGGGAAAGCGAAGTTTTTCTCTCAGACGACTCTCTTTCAGAAATCAGTTTCTGGAAGAACAACTTGGTATTCTTCAATAGCAAGGTTTGTTCGTCGGTCCAGTCCCTTCCGGTCAGGGTCACCTTTTCAGATGCCCCCAATTCGGCTTGTGGTGCTTTCGTAAAAGAATCAAATTTAGTATTTTATCAGAACTGGTCTCCTGTAGTGCGTGCCTAAAGTTCTACATGGAGACATAGTTAGTTGAGGGGACTGGTTGGGAAACCCGGCGAACTTCAAAGGAGGAACTCTTTGTTCTGATTTTCGAGTGATCACGTGTTCACGACCGTGCACACACACACAAAGCAAGATGGCGTATTGAGTAGCGTTATTCCGTTTGTAGAACAAAATTGTTTGATATTCGGGCGAAAGAAGAATTCGTTGAAATCAGATACTAGAAATATAGCATCCTGGGGAAATTATGCCCGGCGACAACTGCGCTGTGTTTGGCTGTGGGACCAGCAGAAGGACGAAAGGCATTGGAATTTGGAAGTTGCCTGCACCAAAGGACGAGGCTCACAAGAAATGGAGACAAGAGTGGCTGAACGAAATTACAAAGACAAGAGAAAGCGATGCTCCATTTAAAGTCTTAGTAGCGAAGGACAGGATCTTTACCTGCGAAAAACACTTCGAACCTGAGGACGTTGAAATATGTAAGTAGCTCGAACTTGTACGAGCGAGTGTAGACTGTCACGGTGTCGATTTGTGTTTAGATATCAGTCCTGTATATTCTGTGTAGTCGTGTTAGTGGTGCAATTCAGGCGATATTTACTAGACATTGACTGTATATGGGGTTTTTCCATCCATTGTATCGCCGTTAAAACTTGGCGTGTAATTTTTTTATTTTGTTTATAGTTCATTCAGAGAAAATGACTAAGAAGAAGGCTCGGTTTGGTGCTCTTCCCAAGTTGAACATGCCGAAAAAAACTCACGAGACTCCAAAACCCGAGCAAAGACCTGAGCGAACCATTGTCCGGGATCTGATCAAGAAGCCGCAAGTTCATTACAAGACTTTCACGGAGTTTTGTCAGCGCTTGACTAAGCTAAAGAGCCTTCAAAACTGGAACATTGGAACATTTTCTGACAGAGTTGTCTTAAAACAGGTAGAGATTCCATATGTGCTTCCGAAGTTTGAAATCGTTGTAGATGATAGTCTAGCATTTACAGTAAGAGTTTATGGCTGTTATTTTCCGGAGGATCATCCTGTGTACCTTGATTATCGGCGTACAGTCAGGAATATATCCATACATAGTCTTGCTGAACTGTTGGGGGAGAACTACAGTTTGTGTTGTGGAGTTGACACACTAGAGATGACAAGCACACTGTTTCATCATGTTGTTCCCATGAGTGAGGGGTTAGAGGAAGACGAACAGTTTCCACACAAAGGTTACTGGAGAGTAAAGGACTGTTTGATTATATGTGGAAAACTTGAAAAGGTGTGCAGTGCATGCGTGGAGTACCAAAAGTGTTCTGAAAAAGCGAAGAAGGCAAAAGACAAGCATCAGTTAATACCCGCTCATGTCAATGCTCCTATATCAAAGACTGATCCAGAGAGGATCAAACTGACTCTGCGACAGCAAAGGCTGCGATGTTATGAACTTGAAAGAGAGCTCAATGAAATGCGCAATGAATTACAGAAATCAAGCATTGAAGTAGACCATGAACTGAGCAATGACTTCGTTAAACTATTTGATTCAGCGGACAATGAAATAACTCCCTTTATGAATCTTTTCTGGCAACAGCAAAAGAAATTGTTTTCAAGTAGCTGCACTGGTGTACGTTATCACCCAATGGTGATTCGCTTCTGCTTGTCCCTTGCGGTAAAGTCACCTTCATGCTATGAGGAACTTCGAAAAAGCAAGGTTTTGGTTCTTCCAAGTCAGCGACGTTTGAAGGACTACCGAAACGCTATAAAACCACAACGGGGCTTTCAAGAGGAAGTGATTGAGCAACTCAGGACTGAGACTGACTGCTATTTTGATGTACAACGATATGTTGTTCTCCTGTTTGACGAAATGAAAGTTATGGCAAACCTTGTACTTGACAAGACAACTGGTGAACTGATTGGCTTTACCGATCTTGGAGACCCAAACTTGAACTTTGGAGTTCTTGAGAAGGTTGATGATGTTGCTACGCATGCCCTTGCTTTCCTTGTACGCGGAATTTGTACAGAGCTTAAATTTGGCTTGGCTCACTTTGCCACTACAGGTGCTACTGCTGCTCAGTTGTTGCCATTGTTTTGGGAAGCTGTCTGTATCCTTGAGACCTCTTGCAACTTGTGGGTTATTGCTGCCACATCTGATGGTGCTTCACCCAACAGGAGATTTTATCGGCTTCACAAGTCACTTGATGGGCAATCAGATAAGGATGTTTGTTATCGTACAACAAATTTGTTTGCACCCCATCGTTATATATATTTCTTCTCGGATGCCCCACACCTGGTCAAGACAACAAGGAACTGTCTGATGCATTCAGGCTCTGGAAAGTCCACAAGATACATGTGGAACAATGGTCTCTCTCTATTGTGGCAGCACATTACACAAATTTTCTATCAAGATTTGGACAATGGTTTGAAACTGTTGCCTAAGTTGTCATTTGAACATGTCAACCTAAATGCATACTCTGTTATGCGAGTGAACCTAGCAGCTCAAGTCCTTAGTGCATCTGTGGCTGCAGTGTTAAAGGAATTTGGGCCACCAGAGGCAGCAGCAACTGCAAAACTCTGTGAAATGGTTGATGGCTTTTTTGATTGTCTGAATGTTCGGAGTACCACAGAATATCAGAGGAAGCGCAAGCCATTCGTAGCCCCTTACCGATCTGATCAAGATGAAAGGTATTGCTGTTTTTTTAACACCTGAATGGAATAACATGTAGTTGTTTTAGTCATCTCTACTTTGCTTCTCTTTGTGAGAAGTTTCAGCACAACACAAAATTTGTTTAATTTTTTTTTCCATAATTCTATTGCTGTATACTTATTTCTATGAAAATTTTTTCCAGTGAGGTTATCATTATTTCATTGGTATATACTAAAACAGTGGATAGCATAGATTTTTGTGTGTGCCCAGATTGCTATCCATTCTCATTTGTGGCTCGGTAAATGTCCACCACTAGGCACATCCACTTTAGGTGAATAATGTCATTGTTATTGTAAATTTATGAGCAGCAGATGACAATCAATAGTATTAAATGTTACTTCGACAGATACGAGTGTCAGTGTTGACAGCTGAGAGTAGTTGGTGTTACTAACATTTTTGGTTGCCACTTGGTTTCAGGTTTAAGTTTCTACTGAATTTCTTGGAGTATCTGAGGAAATGGAAGGAGAGCACAGAGGAAAGGCCAGGAAACTTCAGCAAGAATGCCAGATCCCGTATGTTCCTTTCCTGGCAGACCTACGAGGGCTTCCAGATAACAGTGTATTCTGCAATTGAGGCAACCAAATTCCTGCTTCATGAAGGGATGGAGTTCGTGCTCACAGAGCGTTTCTGCCAGGACCCAGTGGAGGAATATTTTGGGAACCAGCGCAAACTGGGAAGGCGAAGTGACAATCCAGATATCCGCACATTTGGATATAACAACAACACCATCAGAATCCAGAGGACAGTGTCATGCCAGATTCTGACCTTCTCCAGTTATGACACAAGCGCTGATCCTCTTTTTGTGCAACTTAACTGGAGACGGTTAGATACTCAGCGACAAATACAAGTGGCCACCATGGTCTATAAATCTATACATGGTCTTGCGCCCGACTATCTTGGTTCTCTTTTCACTAAATATGATCCTCCATATAATCTAAGGAACTCTGAAAACAAACTAGCTGTTCCATTGCCTCGCACCAATTTCCTAAAAAATAGCTTTAGCTATAACGGTGCGATTATATGGAATAGCTTGTCCCCTGAATTGCGGCAAGCAAAATCACTTCAATCCTTCCGAAATGGTTGTCGCAATTTCTTCCTCTGAATCGACAAAACACACACGGCATCTATGTAAAGCAGAATTTCCTTATTTTTTTCTATTTTACTTTTAAATTTTAGATCATGTTTATATAGATTAAAATAGATTGTAACTGTAATAATAGATTGTAATAATATTATTATTTTATCTGATAGATTTACCGTGTCTAAATAAAAATAAAGTTCAAGTTCAAGAGTGGGAACACTAGGGGTAGAAGGGATGCCTGCCATGCATGGGATCAAGTTACACACACCAAGCTTCCATGCACAAAAAAATTAAAAATTGCTTGACTGTTTCAATACATGTACATTAAACTGGACATAATGGCATTGCAGACAACTGATTTTAGAGCAAGGGTAGAGTGGGAATGTAAAACTCCAAATTTGAATGCTTTTTTACTTTAAAAAACCACCCAAAAGAGTGATATTTCAAGTGGGCAATAATATTGCTAGAAAAGTGGTTGCTCAGGGATTGTATTTTCTCATAATGAGGTACTTCAAACAAAAAAGTCCTTCCCTTTCCGGGCTTTATTCAGACCAAAGCGAGTATCTGTTGACTTTCCAGTTTACAGCAACCAATACATGTACATATATGCACAGTCTTCAAGTGCTTTAAGTAGGAGTTATATTTGCAACAAATGCCCAACAGAAACAGGAAAAGGAACATTTTTTAGCAGCATATGTTAGTGTTTTTTACATTCTTTTATACAGCAAAAAGTAAAAATTTTAATGTTCTGTTCTGATAAAAATCTTTTCTGCTGGCTTGGTTATGGACCAAAGACCTCCACGACTCAAACTTGACACCAGTCTTTGTGAATCAGACCCTGTCTCCAATTTTCCAGCTTTTAAGATTGCCATAGCATGATTGCTTTCAATTGTTGATATTTTTGCATGCTGCTTGTGTAGATTATGTAATACATAACCTCCCACATATTGAAGACCAGCCTTCTCTCTCTCTGATAACAGAGTTTGGGTTGGATGATTGCTGCTACAACAAGCCTCCGTGGACTTGCAGTATACTAACTAACTATGATGGAGAGAACTCAAAGCTGTTTGCCTCGCCTTGGAAGCTTTCGCGAGTCATCTTTCTGGTGTTAAGGTTATTTGGTATTCCGATAACCAGAACGTCGAATCTATTCTTCAAAACAGTAGTAGGGTAGCTGACATGCACCAATTGGCCCTCCTAGTTATCCAAATATGTCTTGAGTTTCACATATCACTTGAGGCATAGTTAGTTGAGGGGACCCCTCAACTAACTATGCTTGAGGTTAAGTGGATCCCTTGGGAGCTTAACGCTAAGGCTAATGCAATAAGCAATTTAACCGATTATGATGACTATACCATCAACGAAGCTATCTTTCAAAGAATTAACCTATTTTGGGGGTCCCACACCGTTGACAGATTTGCTTGTTCCTATAACGCTAAGGTACCAAGATTTAACACTGAGATTTTTTCAGACTGGCTGTGTAGTAGTAGATGCCTTCTCCCAAGATTGGGGGCACGATAATGATTGGATTTGTCCTCCAGTGTGCCTATTAATTAGAGTGGTAAAGCACATGGAATTGTGTAAGGCGAGAGGAGCGGTTATCCTCCCCTTGTGGAAGTCCTCTTGCTTATGGACTTTATTTTGTAGAGACGGTGTGCAACGGAACAGTTTCGTAATTGACTGGGTGTTTTTACCCAAGTTCCCAGGTCTCTTTATCAGAAAAGGGAAAGCCCGAAACTCGCTTTTCGGTTCCAGACCCCTGGACTTTGATGCTATAGCCCTTCGAATTGATTTTCGCCGCCCCAGATCTCCCTGTGCTTGCGTAGGCTTCTGTACGAAGTTCAGTATAGACTGTGATCGTTGTAATTAGCCCGGCGGGCTTTTTGTATTCACCGCGGAAGTTTTCTCTTCTGGGTGCAAATGTGATTTTGTTTCAGTCAATCCCAGCGTAATTGCTCTAAGTCCTTTGTACTTAGCTTATGGGTTGTTTGGCACTTACTCAGGCTTGAAGTGACTTAAATCATAGAATTTCTCGTCAATATTGCGTATTGCATTATGACACGAGTTTGTGTCAAGAATTTATTCAGCATTGTTTGAAATTAAAGGGACCCATTTGTAGGCGTAGGCTTCTGTACGAAGTTCAGTATAGACTGTGATCGTTGTAATTAGCCCGGCGGGCTTTTGTATTCACCGCGGAAGTTTTCTCTTCTGGGTGCAAATGTGATTTTGTTTCAGTCAATCCCAGCGTAATTGCTCTAAGTCCTTTGTACTTAGCTTATGGGTTGTTTGGCACTTACTCAGGCTTGAAGTGAATCAAATCATAGAATTGCTCGTCAATATTGTGTATTGCGTTATGACACGAGTTTGTATCACGTTTTTATTCAGCATTGTTTGAAATTAAGGGACCCATTTGTGGTCCACTTTGCAGATTCCAGTTGTCTATGTATTTTCTGTTGGAGTTTGATTATTCCCGGTTATTCTATTTTTATTTGTCTATTTCTTTAGTTATTTCTTGTTGGATTGTACTCCTCACTTTGCCTTATTTTATCTCTCGTTTAGATATTTTTCATTCGGGATTTAGGGCATTCCGGGACGGACCGCTTGACAACTTGCTTGAGGGACTGAAAGATCGGCTGAAGACGACTGTGCTCTCTTCCAAAGCAAATGGGACTGTTATGGTTTAACGATGTGTCTAGAATAAGAAGTGATATTTCCCTTAAAAAAGGCTTCATGATTATTAAGGTTTTGAAAAGCAAGAATGCCCAGCTCCGTAAAGGCGACGAAGTCATTATCTTATAATTGTCTAGTTCTGTATGCCCCGTTGAGTTGCTTAAGAGGTGTTTAGTTATGTTTAAGATACGCCCTGATTCCAAAGATTTTATTTCAAGCCTATTTCTAAAGGGAAGGGCTCTTGCAAGCTTGTTGCCCCTGATAAGCCCATTAGTTACTCTACAATTAGAGGGGCTTTTCGCTGGGACCTGCAAAGTCTCGGAGTTGAACCGTCCAAGTTGGGTTTGCATTCTCTAAGATCTGGGGGAGCCATTACGATAGCAAGTAATGGAGTAAACGACAGAGTTTTCCAACGACATGGTTTTTGGAAATCGGTACAAGCCAAAGACACATACGTAGACGATAATTTTGAACAATGACTCCAAGTATCGCGTTTTCTTGGGCTCTGAAGGCGTTTTCGTGTTTTCGGTGGTATTATATCACCTAGCCTCGTGCGTCTTGCCCAATTCTTTGTCAGTCTATATATGCCTCGGGTTGGTTCTCGGCAGGCTTCCCTAAATAAACTTATTTGGTGTACACTACTGTGTTATTTGTTGTGTAATGGAGACAAAATATGGTATTTCTGACGAATGAGTCTGCGAATAAGGCAGAAATAGATATTTTGTCGGCACGAGATACGACAAGGCCTGGGCCTTAGGCCCGAGCATCATGGGTAATGATGCAGTGGTATATAAGGAAAGTATAGCACGTGATGTCCATCTAGACCTCAGAACCAACCGTTCACCTCTGGCTTATGACAAATTTATTTTAGTTTGAAAACATATTTTCTTTAGCTGTGAAGCCTCGTAGGATGGGCTGCCAACTGCTCTGAGTTTGGGCCATGGTTCCTACCCAGATTTCCTGTCATGTTTTTCCCTAAAGGGTTTTTTTCTGGCAGGTTTTTTCTGGCCTCTGTATAACCGTAGTTATGTCCTTGTAAGCGGTTGCCCATCTCTGTTAATCCAGACTTGGTGAAGTTTGCATGTTTGTAATGTATACTTTTTTTTTTTTTAATGTGTAAGGAATTGACTGTATATCAGGATTGTATATGGTATATCAGTTGCGAATATATGTATGTATGCATTCCCCGGGCTATATATGCCTCAGGTTGCCTCTACCTGATTAAGTTATAATACAGGCTTAGCAACGTTTTTCTGTTTAGGAAATAACGAATCCTAGAGAGAATACCTATGCTTCTTTTGATCTTTTTGGCAATCTAGTTAATTTGGCTCTTCCAACTAATATTTGAATCTCTGTAAACTCCAAGGTATCTAATGGATGTTTCATCAGCTAATGATTGATTATTTATAAGTAGTATGACCTTTATGGGGATTTGTTCTGGATGAAAAATAACATCTTTCTTTAAACCTTCAGCATAACATAATGTTCACGCTTTGTCGCTCATTTCTAAACCATTTTCGTTTTCGCTTTTCGTGAAAGAAATGTCATTTTCCAGTCGGTTACATAAGCGTTGGGAAGAGGTTATTGGTTGGTCGTTTCCTGTAGCTTCTATCAAAGGATGTGCCCTTGTATATTTGGTTCCTTTAATTAAGCTTAAAACTAGGTAGTCGTGTTTCAATATAAAGCGTACTTTTATCAGCCGTTACCCTCCTGCTTCTTTGAAACTAAGAATAAATCTAGATAAATCTTTGTGCGTCACAAAGCGGACTTTGATCAGCTGTTGTTTTCTTCATCTCCTTGAAACAAATTCTAGGAATTTAAGCTAGATATTTATAGTTATGGAAACTAGATATTTATAAAAATAGTAACTCTAATTCATCCAACTGTGATTTTACGTGGCATTTTAGTTAACACGTTTAGACCTGTTCCCATGATATTTCGCGAGAAAATAAGTCGTATTTTTGGATGAAGACGAAATGGAAACCAGAGAAGTTCGAGTTGCATTATCAAAAGGACTTTGTCCAGTTGTTGTTCCTGTATTTTCCAGAAAAAAAATCAAAACTGCATACTTCAGTTCGTTTCATCTTAAAGCGGACTTTGGCCAGTTGTTGTTCCTCTATTTCTCAGAAGAGGAAATCAAAACAAGTACTTACGTTATAACGTAGAGTTTTTTCACTTTGCATAACTATAGTCATCGATCAGTCATAGGACCATAAGTCTTCCTGTTTGAAGGCACCCGAGCTGGTGATACAGATACTCGCTCCCTGGGCTGATATCGATACTGAAGGCAGAACAGACCCGATAGCAGGGAATCTCCAAGCAGGTAGGTTGATGCCTTTACCTGTTAAGGCATTTCTTTGAACCTTCAACTCACGCTTTGTCGCTCATTTTTGAACCATTTTCCTTTTCGCTTGTTGTGAAAGAATAGTAAGAATGCTTTTTTCCCACTCGGTTACCTAAGCTTTGGGAAGAGTTTTTTTGGTTGGTCGTTTCTTGTAGTTTCTATCACAGGGCGTGCTTCTACAAACTGTACATTTGCTTCTGTAAAAGAGCTTGAAACGAGATACTCGTGTTTCACTATAAAGCG